AAATGGAACTTTGTATACACTTATCAAAGTACTTGCCTACTGAAAATGATTGACTGTTCACTTTGTATTCTCCAAAGGAATTATATTTTGTCCATATATATATTTTGTCAATAAAGAAATTAGAATTAGAGTTATAATAAAAATTCTGAGCTTTAAGATTTTTTATATTGATAGGTTTCTTTTATTTTATTTATATCTGTCAGCTAATACTCCATTTCCATCTTATCAACACCATTATTGCCATTGCTACAGTGTGATGGCAAGACTTAATGTGAAATAGAAACCTCAGCAAACAAATAAAGAAAAAAGCAATGAGGTTCAAGAGACAGAATACTGAACATCTATATGGACATTTTCGTTATCTAGCAAAGCATGCAGTCAGCATTCCATAAAGAACATTGAAAAGAATCAAAATCTTTTCTAGAAATCAATCAATATACACTCTCCTGAAAGAAGCAGAGCATGGTCAAAAACTTACAGATAATCTAATTATTTAATATAACAATATGAACTGATCTTACTACATACTGTTCTAAACAGCTAAAATGAAGGTCAAAATCAACAGGAAACCATTTTTCAAAAAAATTATTACTTTCTCTTAATTTTAGTTTCCTATTTAGTTCCTTATCATGCCCTAAATTGGCAATTCTGATTATAATGTGCATTTCTAGTGAAAATCTAGGTTCTCCTCTTTTTTGTGTGTATTCTTAAGAATGATGAAATTTTTACCGAAATCAAAATCTAATGCAGTAAGTTACTGCAAGTTTAAAAACAGGTCCTAATATAACTATCAAAAATTTTCTTACATTGAAAGGTTTGAAGAGCATTGAATATACCATACGTTTATTTTTTTACGTATTATCTAACATGTGGAAATGTTGAAAAAATGCACGGCTTCCTTGAAAACATTTATTTCTTCAAAGTACAGACGCTTGTCTCACATGATCATCTTAATAGATGGGAACAGCTCTCACTGGTGTTCTGCAACACTGACACTGGTGTTTCAAACCCCTCCTCTTACACTTTTCATTATACCTTAAAGCACATGGAACTCCAAATAAGTCTTTTCTTTCTTTTTATTCCCCCTTAGATCCAACTTGAATGATTCCTGATTAAATATATTCAGAGAAATTTAAGTTACAGATCATTCTTTTGCGGGAAGAAAGAAAATTATCATTTTAAAAGAGGCCAACTATGAAATAATCATCTTATTGGCAAAATATAGCAATTTAAAAGACATACAGTATTAAATATAATATAGATTTACATATGCATATCAGGCTAATATTGAGCTAAGTGAAGATTTATATTATGATTTATAATAGCTTTTAATTTATATCCTCCTAGCCTACTAAATGATATTGTCTTAAAGCATTGAATTTCCTACCTGAGCCCAGCTTCCTTCCTCAGATTCTTTCTGTGTTAGCAGCAGGAAATGATTAATAAAGCAGGTAAATACAAATTAATTTCAAATGATTACAGTAAAGTTTTTCTAGCAGAAGCAAAATTATTATACAAAATGTTAATTATTATGATACAGGCAGATAAATACACAGTT